AAGTGAGTGCAGAGTGGGGTTTCACTTTTTGGGGAGGGAAGACAGCAATTCTGGGAGAATGAGGAAAAAGCAGTTTTTGAAAACAGTCAAAGAGCAATTCATTAAAAGCTAATAGGAAAAGCATTTTTAAAAGTACATCACAGTAAACCAGTGTGCTTGCTGTAGGTTGACCCCAGCAGGTAGCCAGGCATCCACACAGCCACTTGTTTGCTCCCCCTTTTACCAGCACCGCTGCCAGTGGGACGGGGGCAAGAACAGGAAGAGCAAAAGCAAGAAAACTCTGGGAGCAATATACAGGCAGTTTAACAGGTGAAGGAGAGAGGAAAAAACAAACTAAAAAAAAGCAATGCAATGGAAATCAGTCACCACCTGCCACAAGGGGACTGATGCCCAGCCAGTCTCCAAGCAACAGCCACCCTGGAAGCCAAAAACCCCCTGCTTCCTCTACTCCGGTTTTTGTTGCTGGGCACGGCGTCACGTAGCACGCCGTATCCCTCCGGCCAGCTTGGGTCAGCTCTCCCAGCTTCCTGCCCAGCCCCAGCCTGCTCAGTGGGGCAGGGGCAGAGTGGGGAACAGAGAAAGCCCAGGCACTGCTCAGCGACAGCCAAAATATTGGTCTGTTGTCAGCACCGGTTTAGCCACAAACCAAAAAAAACAGATAAATCCTAGGAAGATGTTACGTCTCTGAGTGAAGTCCAGCTATGATAACTAAATCGCTGCTTATCCTGGGTGGTGAGCAGATGTCCTAGAAGTGGTTAAATGCCCAGGTAGCTTTCTGATTAGTCTGTCCATTGATGTTATTGTGATCTGTATTCTGAATCAGTTTTCCCTCATCCTATTCAGCATTGCACTCTGCTGGGTTTTTCATGTAGTTTGACTTTTACTTTCTAGTCTTTGACAGTAGTAGCAAGGTGACCTTTCAGTACTACGTATTTGTGAATACAGCTTAGCTGGAAAGCTGCTGTGCTGTACAGCTTTGTTTCCCTGTGAAATATTTGCCACCAATATGCGTATACATACAGAAGTTTGAAATGTGTTCTTTGTTGCTAATGTGATTTCTTCACAGATTCAAAAAATAGAGGGAGTCATATCCTACAGAGATCCTCATTTCTGGTGTCACTCCGCAAGTGTTGTGGCAGGTACAATACATGTGCAAGTGGTATCGGATGTGACGGAACAGAGAATTGTACAGCAGGTAAGGTGAAAAGTTCATAGACCCTATTGTCTTAATTTCTCACTGTGTAGCCCCTTTGCAGCCAGAGACTCAACTTTGAAGCTGCTCTTCGTGCTTATTTTTGTAGCTCTGAGGTAGTGTCTCAGAGCTGGTCTCTAATGTTGTACTTCCCCTTGCCTGCTAGCTCGGAATTAGTTGCATAAAGAGTTGTTTGCTAAAACATCTGCCAAAAAAAAAAGTGTGGGTTTTTTTTTTCCCCTAACTGTTGAAAGCGGCGCTACATCTTCTCTGAGAAAAGGAGGAGGTGGTGGATTCCATGCTGCAGAACAGGCAGTAAACATCAGGGATATCTGGTTGCTAATCGTGGGTTTATAACTGGCTTACTGATATCTGTCTGCCTTGGGTTGTTTTCTTATCCTTGAAAAGACACTTGCTTCCTTATGCAAGATGCTGAGAATTAGGCGTTACGCAGGCATCTCAAAACCATGCCTTCTGAAGCTAGTATTCGCTTTCCAGAAAATTTAATTCTTTGTGGTGATACTTTTTTAAGCTATAGTATTTCAGAGACAGAATACTGCAAGTTACTGTGAGATGGATATTAAGTGTAATGCTAATGCTAACCATACTATTCTGTTCAGGTTACAGCAATTCTGAAAGATGCTGGCGTAAACAACCTAACTGTCCAAGTGGAGAAGGAAGCTTATTTTCAACACATGTCAGGACTCAGTACAGGATTTCAGGATGTGCTTGCGATGACTCAGCAGCTAGAATCCATGAAATACTACAAAGATGGTACTTACATCATGTGATACAAAGTTGTATTCGCCAAAGGAGGTGTGACTGCTGAAGCTGTAGGGTTCCGTATTCGTATTACTTTTTGTCAGGGGATCTTGCACATAAGTGTACAGAAGCAAGTGTACTATATGTATGAATTTTTTAAGCATACAGTCTTTATTAAAATTGGATCAAAATGCTTTTATAAAGGAAATAAGATAGACTTGAATATTCACTGTATATGTGAAAATTATGGAAATCCTAAATACTGTACTTTGTGTTTATTAAACAGAAGTCTTGCAGCTTGTGAGTGAGCATGGATATATTCCATCTTTTAAGTATGGAACATTGTGATTATAATTTCATTTTAGTAGGGGGAAATGGAAATGGTTTATATGGGAATGCAAACAATCAGATGAAAGATGTTTGTCTTTCAAACATAGCTTGACAACTGAAATTACACGCTTGTTATGGGGAGTAAAAAACATCATGAAGTCATGTTTTTTGCACACTTCGTTAGATAATAGAAATACGCAGTTTTTATACTACGTCTCAGTGTACAAATCTGATTTCTAAATTTAATGCATCAGAGCAAATAGATGATACCATTTTAAATTTGTATCAAATTATTTTTTAAGGCGAGAAATCCACAGGTTAATGGTGAGAAATTGGGAGGGGAACAAAATGCAGACAGTTTTCTGTTTCCTGGGAAGACTCAGAATCACAAAACCACACTGTAAAATAAATTTTTTGTACTTTTTGTATGAATAACTGCAAATGCGGTAGTTTGAAGTTTAAAATAATTAATCAGTGAGCATCCTTTCCGAAACTGGGACAGTGGTCTGGGACTTGGCAAGTTGCTGAAACAAACTGTGAAGTGAAGCTTCTTGACTGGAAAGAGTCTGTTTAAGACAGACTTTAACACGTTGCGGTCTTAATAATGCCAAGGAAAGCAGTTCTCCATCTTGAAAACCCCGACGACAGGGTAATAGCATATGTCTGTAGAGAGGTAGTTGCCTTTACGTCTGTTTACAGTCTTTGTCTGCCCCTTTCCTTCTTTTCTGAAGCTCTTAAATATTTTTCTTGGCATTTAGCGAATCAGTTCAGTGGTTAGCAAGAATGAGTACATCCTTCATCCTGTGTATCGTGGCAGTCTTCTTTTGTCATACTGTTTTCTTGTTCTGGGATTTAGGATCAACACCTGAGTATCATTGCAGAGACTGCCTGTGATGCTAGTGGGGTGTGTGGGTGGAGCGGTGTAGGACTTACACGAACAAATCGGATTCACCAGCACTGCCGTTACAAATGTCCTTGAGCACCTTTGCTTCTCTTGCGACCAGGCTGTTTGTACAGGCTGTATGTTTGTTAAGTTTGCATTCCATTCTCTCCTTCCCATGCTGTGTTAAAACGCTGCCTGTAGTACAGGACTGACTTGAAAAGCTGTGGTCAGAACGTTTCTGAAAGCTGGCATGGCTTCTGCGTCGGGTGAGGCTGACTGCACAAATCACAGCCCCTCGTCCTCGGGGAAGCGCTGCAGAACCAGCTGAGCTCTGGAAGCTGATCCGGTTTTCTTGTGCTGCCTGCCTTTGGCAGGGGTTTTCTCGCCTTGCCTCCCCCAGCAGACTCGGGTTCCTTCATAACAGCGCTGCGATTGCGCCCGGCCTGCGAGCAGGGTCATCTCTTGGCTTGGAAAACGACGTTCAGACAGAATGCTTCGGCTCGCAGTTACATGTGCCACCCGTGTTTGAGGTGGTTCTGCCGGAGCAGACGGCGTTTCACCGGGGGAGCGCTGGCCCCGCCGCGGCCAGGGTCATCTCTTGGCTTGGAAAACGACGTTCAGACAGAATGCTTCGGCTCGCAGTTACATGTGCCACCCGTGTTTGAGGTGGTTCTGCCGGAGCAGACGGCGTTTCACCGGGGGAGCGCTGGCCCCGCCGCGGCAGGCGGGTGGAG